GTTCTTGCATTATATCATCCCCTTTCTCCAGCCTGGAATCCATTTCCTCCATCTGCTGGACTGTGGTGAGCTCTGGACCTTGTTCATGTCTCTCTGTGTGTGTGTGGAGGTGTCCATGGACGCTGGTCCCAGCCCTGCAGGGCTGCCCCATGGCTGAGGATTGTCCCTGACTCCCAGCTGGACTTGCTGCTCCCCACAGTGAGTTGTTGTGCTCTGGCTGGTGATGAGGGCAGAGCTGTGTGTCAGCCACATCATTACCCTGGAATCAGCCTGGGAAAAGGGCTGGAGGGCACTTGCATCGAGGGACTGGCTGAATTTTGCCACGGGTCTGACCCCACGGGTGCGCGCCGTTCCCAGGGCTGGGGCAGGCGTGCTGCAGCGTCACCCATCACTGGAGGTGCAGCTGAGGCCTGGAAACCGTGTTGGGTGTCAGGGGTCTTGGGTTGTCCTGCCTCTGAGAAGAGCCTCTGGCATTTCTGTGGCTCCCAAACCCGCCCCTCGAGGAGAGAGGATGGGGAGTGGCTGTGCCCCTCAGACCTGTGGATGTGGCTGGGGACAGGGCAGGGAGGCTCCTCTGAGGCCAAGGGCAGCCTGGTGGGGCGGTGATGAGAGTTGTGGTTAACTGGGTTAATTATATTCATGTTGCTAGGAACACGGTGAATTATGTTAATAGCAGCATCTGGGGAAATTACATCTTCATTAATTGGTCCTGATTGCCGCTTGGCAGATGCGAGATGTTTCTGACTTTAACATGCAGGACAAAATTTATTGTAATCAGTGCAAGCAGTGACTGCACAAATACTGTTACCATGCCTTGCTAATTAACTCTCTGAAGAGGAAGGGAAGGAAAAGACCTGTATGGCCATCTCATCCTTGCTCTCCTGCCCCAGCCAGGACAGCCTTGTCTTCCTCTGATTCCTTTTCTAGTGCTTCTTCTGATAGAGCTCTGAACTTCTTTTTGGGTTAATAATGGTAATAATATGTTTGACAGACACAGGAGAGCATCATGGGGCTGAGGATGCTTCTGCTGATGTGTTGTACCCTCAAGCTGGCCTTGCTCTGGCCTTGATCTGCCCACAGGGCTCCTCCTCATGGGTGTGACTTGGGGGCAATCAGGTTTATTCACGTGCTTGGAGTCAAAGGCGTTGGTGATTTGGAGACCTTTGATCCCATCAGGTCCCCAGCAGGATGGAGAGGAGGCTCACCTAGGCATGGCTGTCCTGAGGGCACCACCCTGGGGGGGAGCTGGGGCTGCTGGCACGTGGAGAGACCAGTCATGGCCAAAGCAGGGCTGAGCTACGTGCGGCATCAGTCTTTGCAATGCTGCAGCTTTCAGTCAAGGGAGCAGCAGCAAACAAGGAATAAACACATTGCAGTGAGCTATCACAGGGGGGCAGATAGCTCCATTCTTAACCAGGGCAGAGATCCTCATCCCTTTGGATAGACCCCCAAGCAAATGCAGAGGTAATACATTACAACCCTGGGGAAGCAGGGGCTGAAATGCAGGCGAGGCACCGAGTCCCTCTAAGTCCTGAGGCTCCTCTGGGGACAGCAGTAAGTTGTGTTACGGCCTCACTTGCTCTGCCTTCTTTTTACACAACACCATCTTTCATTTTAATAGTGGGTTTTCAGCCAGCTTTGTTAGGGCTGCTGCTAATTGGGCTGGATTCATGTGTCCCACCAGGGCACGGGACAAGCCTGGCACTGCTCAGAAGGGAAGGATTTTACTGCCTGGTGCTTTCAATGGGCATAGCCCAGGCTCTGGGAGCAGGAGGAGGGGATATGGCTGGGGTGAGAGGAATTCAGGAGCAATTTTAACTCTTTACTTGCCATTGAAGCTTATATACCTTCCGTGATGCAGTGATGTGACAGAGAGTGGCTGTAATGATCCAAATATCTAGCAGGGAGATGAAAACCTGTTTTACAATCAACCTTTCTGATTTGGAAAGATGTGGGGCCACCTCTTTTGCTGTGAAATAGGATTTAAAAGTTCTTCAGTGCTGAAAGTATCAGATTCAGACCTTCACAAAGTAGTTTTCATAGGTCATCACAAGGAATGAGACCTCATTGCTGGGACAATACCACCAGAGCTTTGGAAGCAGCAGAGTCTGTGCCCTCAAAACCTAGAGCTAGGTTTCAATAAGAAGCTGTAAGGTACAGAGCAGGGAGCTGGCCGTGTCTTTTCCATGGCACTGCCTCTGTAAATAATTGCAAGGCCAGCAGAGCTGTGATGCATGTGAGGTTTGGCTGCAAAGCAACGCTTCTGGCTTGTGAGGCACTTTCACCCCCTCCAACGCTCCCCAGGTGCCTCAGCACAGGGGCACTGGGATGTCTGAGAGCTCCAGGGTTTCTGCTTGTGTTCTCTGAGCCTCTGGGAGACTCACAAAAATCCTCTCCCCACCACTGCTGCACAGCACTTGTCCCCTCTGTCCCCATCCCCTACAGTTCCCCCTAGAGCCCTGGGTGCTGTGGTCCTCCCAAACTGGCTGTTCCAAGGTGACCAGAACTTCCAGCTCCCAGTCACACCACTAAGCTGGACAAACCCCACTAATTAGATGGAGAAATTAATGTTTACTGGGAGCGTCCACTTGGGATGTCTCCAAAAACACAGCTCTGAAATGTGTGGCTCTTTAACCAGAGATACGATCATCCACGTGCCCCTCCAGCCAGCGTGGCAAAGTGTGTCCCCATCTTGCTGTGGGTCAGACCTCTTTGTCTGGAGAACAGAAGAATATGGTACAGGAGGTCTAGGATCCTTTTCCTCCCCCACCTGGACTAACCAGATGTAAAACCAGGCCTCTTTTTTGCAGAGGTCTTTCCCCATCAGCCACACTGGAAAAGTCCCATGGAGGAAACTCCCGTGAGTGGAAGCCTGCTCATGCCAAACACCAAAACAGTTCACATTTGTAGCTGAGAAACACAGCAAGGAGCTTACTAGTTGGCAAACGGACTGAATTGTAGCGCTACTTTTATTTTAAAGGGCAGTTAGCACTGTGGAAGGATTCTCTCTGCCTCTTCAATATGCCATGTTTGTTAGTTAAAAGCTCAATTTATTTAATTTTACATGATAACATATGTCACAGCTCTGCAGTTGAGCTGCTCTGTGGCATCAGGAAAACTGAGCCACAGCAGAAGTTCTGGGAGAGGCAAATGGGGGCAGTAGCACTGTGAAACCCAGTGGTACCCAGAGAAATTTAGTGGGGAGGTTTTTAGTGAAGACTGAAACTCTGGAAGATGTTATTTGGAGTTTTCCCTTCCTGCTCACTTGAGAGCTGAGACTGTCAGACCTGGATGTGGTTTTGGAGATTCCTTTTAGTGAGGGTGGTGCTCAGGGCCAGCGAGTAGCCATGCCAGTCAGTCCAGGAGAGAGAATCCCGGCTGGCCCATGAGCCACTCTGCAAACCTGGTACTGGGGCAGGGAGCACACAGGGTGCCCACCAGCCAAGCAGAACAGCCTGGATGTGTGTGGGAAGTGAATGTGCTGGTCCATCCCTCTGCTTGGACTGGCCTTGCTCCTGGGCTGGAGCAAGGCTTTATGTTCAACATCAGGCCTGCAGGGTCCATCTCTTACTGTCACTCAGCTAAAGCAGAGATGACAAGGATCACCACTGTGATCCAGACCCCACTGATGGCTCTGGGCTATGATCTCAACCGCTGCCATGCCCATTTCCCAGTGAGTGGGAAATACTCCTTCTTGGGGGAGAAAGTTTCTATCAGCAGTTGCAGGACTGTGACCACCCCAGTGATGGCTCTGGGCTATGATCTCAACTGCTGCCATGCCCATTTCCCAGTGAGTGGGAAATACTCCTTCTTGGGGGAGAAAGTTTCTATCAGCAGTTGCAGAGGGCTAGCACTGGGTTCCTGCTCCTCTTGGAGACAGGCTGTCACCAGAGAGATACATTTATTTTTAACGCCATGAATATGTAGAAACTTGTCTGAGCTTCTGCACGCAGTGGCCATGAATTTAGAAACGGCGTCAGGAATCGTGGCACTCGGCATGCTGCGCATCAGGTCAGAGCGATAAATTTCTCTTACTGGTGCACAAGCCATTTGCCATACGTGATTTGCTGAATTTGTGGTCATTTCTCTCTCTGCCCCTGTGTGCAGAGTGTATGACTGAGATTTTATATTGCACCTCTGAGACACAAAGTCCTTCTGGTGCTTTTGCCTTGCATCCTAAACAGCCTCACTCGCTCTTCTCCCTGTCCCCTTGGCTTAATGGCTTCTGGCCACAGCCTGGCCCTTAAATCATGGGCTGCACCTGGACAGGCATAAACTGTGACTGTCCCCAGACAGAGAGGGTGTGATTGGAGTGGTGAGGGATGTGACTGAACACAGCTCAGCCTTGGGAGAATGCTGCTCCTACACTGAGTCCGAGATGGGTCCTCTGGCACAGGCATGGAAGGCAATCAGGGCAAGTCCTACAGAGACCCCTGACATGTTCAGTGAGCCTTTCCAAGGACAGTCATTTGGAATACAGAGGGATGAAATGTTCAGTGCAGATTTCATGCAGTATGTTAAAATGATCTTTGTGATGGGAGGGAAGCTTAAGCTAAGCAAGTTCACACTGTGGGGACTGGAAGATGATGCTGCTATCCTCCTCCACTTTACTGCCTGTGCTTTTCCTCCCCCATCTCTATCTGTTCTAGACATAAAAGCTTTTTTATTGCAAGACTATTTTTGCTCAGTGAATTAAAATGAGGCATTTGTAACCCTTCCTTCCCAGTGCAACTGCTCCCAGCAGCAATGCTCTCTAGCTGGTCCCAGCCTCTCTGGTCAGCATGGAAAAGGCAAGCCCAGCAGTAGGACATGAGCAGGGTCTTGCTAAACCCAGCTCTGCTGAGATGTGCCTGTGCCTCAAAATGGGTCTGCCCTGTTCCACAGACAGCTCCCTATGAGCCTGGTGAATCAGTAAAGGCAGCAGAGATGACCAAGATGTTTCCTAAGTGATTCCTGACCGAAAACCTTTGTCACAGCAGTGCCATCACACTAACAGGAACTGTATCAACAGGATTGTTTATTAAATTCTGGTCTAGTTGCAAGGGTGCAACCCCACTGAGACCCTTTGGTGTAGAAACATGAAACAAGAACAGTGGATTTTCTCACATTGCTGAGGTGTTATCAGGGTCTGAGCCAAATTACCAGGGCAGAGCAGGACACTGGAAACTGCCCATTTGTGGGTGAGAGATGGAGCTCGTGTGGCCTCTGCTGCTAACTCACAGCCATTCTTCAAAGCCAGGGTCTCCAGCAAACTACATACACAGCTGTTTCCATCAGGGTAAGGTTTCTGTTCTTGTTAAACGTGAACCTTTGTGCCTTTTCAACTTAATCCTCTTCCAAGTGTATTAGGTTTTTGGGGAGATTTTTGAAATGGCAAGGTTTCCTGAATTTCTAATCTCCTGGTGCATATCTAAAGCCCTTACCATAATTCATCAGGGCCCTGCCAACATGCAATCTGAATAAAAGCAGAGAGAAAGCACCTTTGCAATCAGGATTTTTCAACTATAAATTAGTGGAAGGTGATCATTGTGGAAACAGCACTAGCTTCATGTATTTAGCAGGGAACACACAGCAAACAAAGGAAATACCAGCTGGAGGGCTGGTGGTGCAAGGTTAGGGCTATGGGAACAGGCTGATGATAGAAACTGGTTTCTTGGTCTCCAGCAGACACAAGCAAGGAGACATTTTAAAAGTAAAGGTTTCACAGGAGCAGAAGCTGTCTCTTGAAACTGCAGTTAGGGAAAATGCCTCTGTTGCCACCACAAACAGAAATCAGAGGAGGTGAGAGCATCCTGGAAGGTGCCAGCAGCTTTCTTCCCAGATTTTGTTCAAGTCTCCAGGTATAGCTACAGAGTTAACAAACCTTCTTGCCTATATTTCACGTTCCCTAACTTTTCAATCAAAGAACAACCCAACCTTCAAAAACAAATCCAAGGATTACTATCCTTTGAAGAAAGGATGATCTTGTACAGCAACCATTTACAATCAAAAAAAATAAAATTAATACATTTTGATTGTTATGGTAAAGAGAAGGACAGAGGTAAAAAGTCATAGCTGTTTTGCTGTTTCTTAGAGATGGGGACTGTGCACATCTGGCTTTAAATAAAAAATAGCAACAACTTCCCAATGCCTTTATTCTCCCACCTTCAAGAGTTTCTGAACTAACTAAAGGCTACTTTCTTGCTAAAGGCTTTTGTCTCACTCCAGCCTAGAGCTTTGTGACACAACTGAAGTTATTTAGTGGAAGGGAGGAAGTAAATGCATTAGTGAGTGCATTGTCTCTTGGCTGAGGTTTAGGTTTACCTGAATTTATTATTTCTAATGTAATCAACTGATTGCTTACTGACCATTTTACTTCAAATGTGGCCAAGGACTGCAGTCTACAGTCAGTCAATCTATCTGCTCCCACCCCTGGGACCATGTCCCAGCACTCCCTCTGCTATCCAGCATCAAGCCATACTTGTTTTCCAGCTCAGGGCTGTAGAACACTGTGAAGATCCCACCTGCACAGCACGGTGGGAGTGTGACTGTGTGTGCTCTCTCATAACATTGAGCAGCTCTCTGACTAAACACACCTTTCTCTTCCCAGACATCACTAACAAGCTATTCTTCTTTCAGCTCAACTTCAACCTGCACTTAACCATTAACTGTGTCTATCTGTACCTAAAAATTACTTGAAATGGAACATTCAATTATTACAGATCTTAAACATGCAGAACAAGGCTGCTGTTTGATTTCTGTTTCAGCAATGATAAAGCACTCCAGCATCACACTCTCATTCTCTCCAACAGCAGCTGAGCCACTAAACTGATGACACGAGGATTAACCAGACAGTCTAACAAGTCATTGGTAGAAAGGGCTGTTTGTGAGGTGCATGGACTGCAGTCTGAATCCATTTGATGTGCAGCTGTCTCACAGTCATTACTCATTAACAATCTCTTCCTCTCGCACTGTAATTTTCCAAAATGTTCTCCTTCATTTTCACAGAGATCTCCACTGTCACTTTCAACTGCAACTGCACCCATCATGCTGGTTTTGTGAGACTGTGGTAAAACCTGAATAAGATGAGGCCCAAAAGGTATTTTTTGCAGCTCTTCTGCTTTGGGTGTTGGAAAGTCACATTCCTGGGTTAGTAATGTGCAGCTCTCTGGTTCACAGCCAGCTTCCCTTCTCTTCCTCTTGCATGACGTATTTGTCCTCTGCTTTGCACCGGTGCTGCTGGAACGTGCCTGTCCTGACACACTTGTCTCCTGACACCTGAGGTATGCAGACACTGCTTTATTCAGGTACTGAAGATTGGTTTCATGGGATGTTGCCTCAACCTAAGAAAACACCCAGAATACACTCAGTTAAAAGGAGACATGTTTCAATTCAACCTTGCGTGATTATCTTCCATTAATTACTTTTGCTACATGAAGGGATCGAATGTAAAACTCTTTTCTCAAAGCAGCATAAAGACTCAGGGGGAGCTAAGCAAAATGTCAGTAATTCTTTGTTATTGCTGCCATAATGGGAGCAGTAGAGGGCTCACCTCCGTGGGATTTAGCCAGAGATCTCCATCACTGGGATTTTCTGCTGATTTTATGGCGCATACCAGCATTCGAGTTATGGCCTCTTCTACACGGGCTTCATGATCTGCATCCTGCCTCAAGAGAACAGAAGGTTTTAGGGGATAGAATAGTTCATGGGTCTCTGCAGATAGCTGAAACATCTTAGGGAAAACATAGATGGCCTTAGTTTGAAAGCCACACTCATCCACGTGAAGTCAGTGGAAGGTTTCAGACTCTCTTCCTGTGTAAAGCCCCCAAACAGGTGACAGCACAGGCTTTGGTGTGACTGCTCATCTGAATAAGGATATGCAAAAAATAGTATGTGTATATAATCTTTTCCCTTATTAGTGTTTTGTTAATTGAATCTGGTGCTTGAAATTATAATGCAATATTAGCATTTAATTAATGTGTGCATTTAAACAGCTCTTTAGGACTAGAAGAGCCATAAAGTACATAGCACGTTTTTATATCTACGTATTCTGTCTAATTTAAGAAATTAAAACACACAGGATGTTACAGCAAGGCAGCAGCTATCTAAGGGCTACACAAGCACAAAAGTGAATCTTAAGGAAATTTAGGAAATATTTTATCATGTAACAAACAGCTGACAAACTGCTGCACTTTTGAACATCACCAGAAGGAAAAGCACATTTGCTCTGAAAACTCTCCTGCAAAACTGAAAATTAACTTACAAACTTAGTAACAGGCTCTTTGTTTCAGGCCTTCACTTCATTCATGATCCCTCTTGGACAGCTGGATACTGGCTAGGTTAGGATAGCAGAAAAAAAACTTTATAGGATCTTGGCTTTCTTTCCCATTTGAGTTTCTTGTATGTGGAAGGAATGTTAAGACTCCCCGAACAGGATGGTGGTTTTGTTATCTCAATGACAATTTGCTTCAACTGAGATGCTTCGATATATTCGTTTTGGAGGGAAGATGCAACATGGTCAACCCACAGCCCTGATCAGTCCAGGGAACCTGTCAAGCAAACCACATCTGGCTAGTATCAGGGCTGAAGGCAGCAATTTGTCCTGGAACCCTAAGCAGAATTTGGGGTAGAAGCAGGGGGAAGTGCTCTTGGCATTTTGTGAGTTTGGATGCTAGGCTTTTTAATGGCCTTGTATAAAAAACCACCAAAATAAGGAGCTTGGTATCTACATGTGGAAATTATTTAAGGTGTTGCATTCTTGGTATTCATCCTGGCCTGCTGAATAACAGGGCTGTACTGATTGCATGACAGTATATTAGAAAGCAAGGAATACTTTTGGGTAGCTCACATCCAGCTGAAAACAAATTAAATTTCTACTCTAAACTCTTGCCAATATAATTAATGGTTTCACTGGGACTGTAATTGTTGGTGTGATTCACATCTGTCAATATGAAAGCAGCTGGTAACAGCTGCGAGCAAGAACTGCTTGGTTTGGTAATGCAAATGTTCTCAGAATTTTCTTTTAGAATCCATGTCAGAATTTATTTTATAGATGGAGGGTCCAACACCTCACAGACAATGCTGGATCATCAGCTGCAGGGGTGATCTCTGTAAGGAGCTTTCACCTGTGCTGCAATAGCCACATTTGCTATACATGGCAGATACTGATATCTGGGGAGGGTGTGTGTCATTTATTAGCAAGAACCAGCAAACACTCCTCTGCTTATGACACCACACAACCACTGACTGCTGCTGGCACCAAAAAGGATCTTGGTGGCTTCTGTAAGAGCTTTGTGACAGAAAAGGACCTGGAATTTAGCTCCACTTTTTTTTTTCCTTGCAACACATAAGAACAGCTAGAAATGCCCAGGCCCCACCCCAGCACCTGGGAGCTACCAGCCAAGCTGATCCCACCACAGCCTGCTCCTCCAGAGGGGGACAACTTGTGAGGCCCAGCTTAGGGCACAAGTGTGTGTGGTGACATCAGGGCCTTCCCAAGCCCAGGGCACACAGCCAGCACCTCTGAATTACCTCAAAGGCTCAAATTCAAGGCAGGCTTAAGTGGCTGCTCTGCAATAAAATTGGTGCTTTCTCTGGCGCTGGAAACAGCCTGACTGCATTTAGGGCTGTGTAAGAGCCTGGTCTGGGCTGTGGGCCTGCTGTCCTTGCTAAATACACAGGTTTCATCTCGAGAATTTCTCCATGAGGGAAATACCCAAGTGAGTTCCTCTGCTCTGCTTGGTTTGATGTGGGTATGAGAAATACATTGTCTGGTCTTGGAACAGCAGCTGAAAGCATGTGTTCTTTCCCTGCAGGTTTCCAGTCTAATATAGGTTTTAGAAGTAGGGAAAAACAAAGGCAGTGAGTATTTTAGTGAGGCCATTTCACAAGCTATTTCAAAAGTTTTTTTTTTTTAATTATTTTAATATTAACCTAGGATTAATAATAAAGTAATGTCAATCCGAAAACCTTCTGGAGTACTGAGATGATCTAGTGGAATATGTCCCTGCTCCTTGTAGAGTGATTGGACTAGACAACTCTTAAAGGTCCCTTCCAATCCAAACTATTCTATGATTTTATGATATCCCTGGAACCATCCCATATATACTGGTTAACATGAGCAAGAAAAATCAAAGCCCAGGGAGAAGAAAATTAATTAAATACATGAGGAAATCCAACTTCAGCCAAATCAAAACTATCACAGAGGAATGAAAATTCAAAAATCTTCTCCTCCCTTCCTATTCACATTAATCTGATTTAAATTCTAATTTAGCTTTGCACATAAGCTTGTCCTTGAGGTGAAGTTCCTGGTTTTTTGTTCTCTATTCAGCACAAAGCTGGCTGGCCTTTCAGAAACTAGGCATGAAAATTTAGCTTGTGTTTAATTGTTTACCTGATTGAAGTAAACTTGAAAGGGGATTTCTGCTGAACTGGGGCTTCAGATGTGGAACCTTGAATTGTTCTTCCTGAAAAAATGTATCCATAAGGGCTTTTCCCTCACCAGCCTCTGAACACAACACACCCAATAGGACTGAACCTGGCAGGAAAGGGACAGAAATCCCTTGGAAGTGCTACACCCCCAAGACATTAAAAGGAAAATACCAGTTCAATCCAAGAGTTAATGCTGACAGTGACAGGATCAATGCATTCCACATAGTGCCACCAGTGCCTTGGAACGAGCAGGACCTGGAATTGGAGACATTGCATTAGGGTACAGGCAGAAGCCTGAAGAAAGACACAGTTTTTTAATTCAGGTGATGTGGGATGTAGAGACAGAACTGAGGCAAGGACACAGGTGAGAGGTGATAAGTATTTCTCTCTTTTAAAGAGCCTTTTCTCAAGACTTAAATGCCCACTGTATCATGTAAGAAATGGACGTGATCCAGAACTACCTTTCATCCAAACTCCTTCCCATATAGTCCCAAGCAGGACTATAACCTTTAATTGCTGTGGGTAAGCAAAGTCCAGCAGAACAGAGGGGGTGCAGCTGGTGCAGCAGAACATCAGGACTTCAGAGAGTGTCTCAGCCAAGCAGGAATTCTTTTGTAGACTCTCCAACTGAGCAGACTTCCCAGTTCCTGTAGGACTGCCAGCTGGCTTTCCCAAAAAGCAGGCATGCCTATGCTCATCTAGGTGACTAGGTGACAAAATGCAGCTTTAATTCTGGTAAATAATCACCAGTATTAAATTTGTCACTTTTAGTAGACAGGCTTTTAAAAGAAAATGTCATGATTTCTGGGACAATCTAGTTTAGATCAGAGCTTTACGACAATATCAGGATGATAGCTGTGACATAAAATTGATTCCAACCCATGGTTTTTATGGTACAAGACACTGATGTTGTTTTGATGATAGAGGACAAGCTTTGCAGATTACTGAACATTAGAGTAACATGGAGCTATCAAGAAAAGCATGAAAGATATTTTTTGACAAGTTATAAAAATGGTCAGAGGGAGATAAAAATATATACTTCAAAATGGGTAAAGTAAAGCAATGATCTGTATCTGAATTGCAGACAGTTCTTTCTCTTGGTAGGCACAAATTACTTAGAAGAATGTTCTACTGCCCAGATAGCCCTGTGCTTCATTATATCAAAACACAGCTAATGAGAAAATGTCTGTGGGGGAAACAATGGCACCAGTCCTGCAAACACTGACAGGACACTTGGAACACTCTCATTTTTTGGGCCAGATGACAAATGTTCTCCACAGGCTTAAATTTAAGTCAAACAAAAAGAAGCATTGGCTTTCCAAAGGTCAAAAACATTTGGAAATTATTCTTTAATCCGGTACAGCATACAGAACAGAAGAGGAAGTCAGTCAGTGGAGGGTCATTATTTTAAAAATATCACTAGTTAGTCCTGACATATAAGTGTATGAAACCCTATAGACTGCAGCCAAAACATGTTTCAGAGTTTTGTTTTTATCAAGGAAACATCCACTTTAAATGAACAGTGCAGTTGCATTAGCAACAATTGGTTTATGATAAGGGTTTTCTAGTTTCACTGACTGCAAAATCATGCAAACCCCCCCTCCCCAAATGCTCATCTGCTCTACAGGGGATCTTACACTGAACTCTGCTAAAGTCTCTGGGCGCCCTCCAAGTGGCCAGGTGTAATGTGAGCCCTGGCAAACCTTGTGTTACAGCAGAAGAAAGCAGAGCTCCCGTAAGCGGCCGTTTGCACCAAGGGGATCCCTCCTGTGAGCCCTGTGCAGGAACAGCGAGCGGCAGCGTGCTGGAGGAGGGCATGCAGACACTGGGGAGGGACTGTGTGGCAAGGGAACATGATTAAGGAAAATGCATAAATGTTCCAGTAAGAGATGCTGCCTGGAAAACCAAGAAGGAAATCAGGCATGGAATGTGCTGGCTCCACATGACTGCAAAAGGGAGACAGATTTGCTTTGGAGAGAGCAGGTACGGCCAGAAGGAAAATACAATCCCCACAACTTGTCCTGTGTTTTCAAACCAAAGAGGAGGAACTTGGTCCTTTAGAGACTAATCAGATTTCCCTTGCCAGCAGGTTAAGGGTAATAACTGCAAAGTTGTGTCTCTCTGCAGCTGGCCCTGTTTGCTGATGCAGTTTATAGAAGAGCTACAGAGCTGTGACTCAAATAGGCAAAAAAGGCTCCATAAAGACACTTGCTCTCCCTCTTTTATTGTTGAACAAGCTTATGCTTGTTAAAATTAGGATTTATAGCAACAAGAAAATTGAAATTATCAAAAAGCAAAAGGACTAAAACTTTACTAAAGATTAAGAAATGGAAAAAGGTAATTAAATAAAAAAAAAAAATACAGCTGGCAAGAGAGCAGAACTAACAAGACCAAAAAAACCCAAACCCCAGAACCCAAACAACCCAGAAAAGAAAGGTAGGATTCTTCTACATTTACAAACTAGTATTCTTCTAGGTTTTCAAATTAGAAGCAAACAGACACACAACAAAATGAAAACAAACAAAAAAACCACCACCGCTGCCTCTAACGATCAATTTCACAATTGAAAAAAGCAGACTTCCATATGTTTATGAATATGGGACACAGATTTAGCTACATTCCTATAGGAGACATGAAAGTAAGCCACAATGAAACAACACACACAACTGCAGCAAACATTTTACAGGGAAAAACGTAAAGTGCAATAGCAAGACAGAACTACTCCAAGCTGAGAGATAATATTGTGCTAGTCTGCTTTCCACAGAACTTATCTAACTTTATTCATGCTGGGAAGATACTGATCTAAACAGTAACCAATCAGATAATTTCAATATTTAGGCTAGTGACAGCCAAATATAGCAAATGAAGTTAAAGTAGGACAGAAGTCCCAGAAAAGATAAAATGAGATGCTGTAATGGGAGGAAAGAAACCAAAGGAACAGTTGGGAGAGCAAGTGGAGCAATGCTGAAGACTTGTACATCACAGAGAACAGAGCAGGTTTGAATTCTCAGTGGACATGATTAACTTGATACAGTGCAAAGGTAGGGCAAAGGTGGAATTGCTTCAAAAAGAGAGCACACCCTGAAGTGAAATATTATGCCAAGAAATTTCTGCTCATTAGGAAAAGATATTTAGGTAAATGCACACAAAAAGGAAGCCAGTGTGATGGGAAGATAAAGACACTGAGCCACAGGGGGACCCAAGGAAATCCCAGAAGTGTTCACAACCATGGCAATGAAACATAAAATGAAGTAGGTGCAGGCATAGCCAGGTCTGTGGGAACACCACCTGAGGACTGTGTGAGCCCTGCTGCCCCAGCCTATGCCTCATCCCAGCTGGAGCCTGGCTGTTCCTGGTGCTTGGAAGGGGCTTCTCATCCTGCCTCCTCCTCCCTCCTGGTGTCTTCCTGTCCAATGAAACAGCTCCAAGGGCAGCTGGGGTCAGAAACACAGGCACAGCCATGGGGAAAGGCACACTGAAGAGGAGGGAGTGGGGCTGCATCAGGCCATGCCCACAGTGACCCAGGTGAGAGAACAAGGGAAGCTCAGGGAAGAGGTGGAGAAGCAGAGTCAGGAAATTGCAGCTTTGACCTTTTGTTTTTGTGGCATTCATGGGGTTCTCCCTAGGTGTTGCAGGTTGGGCAGTGTTTTTAGCACCAATTCTAGCATAAATTCAGCTCCTGGACTCTTCTGCTTCTTCTGTGATGGAAATCATAGTTCTGGTGTCCTGAGGTTGGGTTGGGCTGTCTGCCTTCCCTATGGGGTGACTTGGGGCCAGCTCTGCAGTCTCCCATGTGAAAACTCTTTATTCCTTCCCCAGAACAGAATTACCAGTCATCTACTATGCATAATGGTGTGGCCAACTCTGAATTCTCTTTTAGTAAAATCACTTAAATTCTTTTCCAAAAAAAGGTAGGTTTTTTTACTATAACCCCATTTAAAAAGTCTTTTGTATACTTTGAGCTGGAACACTATGCTACCTTTGAATTACTGCACTTCTTGACTTACTAAAACACTTTTCTTTGGTATCAATTATATTTTTCTTGGCTATCCAGACTGTGTGTTCTGCTGCTCGCCACTTTAAGCCCAATCTGATGTTCTCACACCCTTTCTTTAAAGGCAGCACACAGGGAAATCCCTCCCTGACTTCGTGAAGATTTCTTCTTGCTCAGGGTTAGGTTAAAAGTCAGAGGTTTGCCTGTGCTGTTGGGAGATCTGCTGCTGAGCAGGATCCCATGGTGTGTTAGATTCTGCAGCAGAAGCACAGAAAGAGAAAATCCTGCAGCTAAACACAGCAACTGAGTGACAACTGTATTTGTGGCCACATAAATGTGTTTCTTTTAGACTTTGAGAAAGCAGGTAAGCAGAAGCAGGGGAGGTTGTTTCTGAGCAGCAGACCGTGGTGAGAACCAACAAGCAGTAATGTTCATATTTTTCTAAAATAGTTTTTTTTTTTCCCATTCAGTGACAATAACCAGCAAGCAGTAATGTTCATCTTTTTCTAAAACAGTTTTTTTTTTCCCATCCAGTAACAATATTTTTCAAGGCCAGAGGGAGGGGATCCTTCTCAGACCCAATGTGCCTCTTAGATGACCTCAGTCAGGCCTTTCCTTGCACTTCTGCACTGCAGCTCCTCTGGCCCCAGGCTGCCCTGGGGCACAGGGCCAGGCCACAGGGCAGGCAAGCACTGCCTCCAACAGCACCTGCCTGGGCTGGCAAGAGGGGGAATGGGATTGCTCACAGGGGTCCAGAGTGGCAGCTGCTTGCTCTCCATACCTTCAGATGAACTCTGATCACTTTGTAGCCTCCCTACCATTGTCTAGTTATGTGGATATGGATTAACAGGGAGATGGATTAAGAGCAATTACATTAGAGAGCAGGAAGGAAGCCAAAAGTCAGTGAGAAGTGGGGCAGAGGAAAGAATGATCAACGATTTTATCCTTGTACAGCATCTCAGTTTTTGTAGCCTTTTCAGGTGATATTCATCTTTCCTATTTTTAATCATCAAAAAAGTTAAGCATCTATGTGCACAGGCTCCTTCTACAGCCTGTGCTGAAGGACAAGGTGGGATGAATGCTCCTGCAGGACTGTAATTGTGTAAGACAGGAAGGATGAACCACCTTGTTGAGGTGCCAGGTGCCACTGATGGCAGATAGGACACCTGTCCTGAACAGGAATTAGGCTGAGGGTGACAGATCTCTAACTCTCTTAACACTTGTCCCAGAGCATGGGTAGAAGATACAAGAACAGATGTGTTTTGTCCCATTTCTGGTCTTTTAGGGAGTATTTGTATATTTGAGAGAGGATTGAAGGTATTACTAGAAATGCTGCTCCATACTTAATCCTCAGCTTTGCAACCATCAAATAGGTGACCAGGTCCAAACATTTATAAGGACCCCCTACATTTGTGTGACACAACTTGAGCTTGTAACTTCCACTTGATACAGTGGGTATAGTACTGCTGCAAGCCCTTCCACTACTCAGCTGCCTCTTCAAGTAAGCTTGACATCTTAATGTTTTCATCATTTGTTTCAGAACAGATCACTAATGTATAACCAGAAGTTACTTCTATTGAAATGCAGCTGACAGCCAGTGGTCAGGTACAGATGAAACCTTATAAAACCTTAAATCTCAATCAGCTACCAAAATTCATAATAGAGGTTCACCTCTGTACAGTGGAAGGGCACAAAGGATCTAATTGAAGCACACTCTGTGCACTGACACAATGTTACATGAAGGAATTCTGCTTTCAGGCAGAAAGGGTGTAAAAAATGGCTGGTAGCAAACATCGACCAGAAGGTGGCATTAGACACATTAAGTTTTTGATATTCAAAGCTGCACTCACTCTACATGCAGCTGCTCTCCTGAATACCTAAGAACACCTTTGTCTTCGTTTTTTCAGCCTTTTATTGTTACAATAATCCAAAATGTTCTGCATACCCTCTGGGAATGAGTGGAGATGCTACATTTTATCACAAAATAAAGATGCCTACAAATTCTTCAGTAATTGGGCTAATTCTATGTGAAAACCACTGTTAAGCACATATCAAGACATTATTTAGGAATTCTCTCCCTTGTTAATAAAGGAGTTCTTCTAGGTCATTCTTTTCCTCTCCATCAAATGGCAGCAGCTCCCAGCCACCTGCCCCAAAAGCTCCTGGATGAGATGCTGGCAAGCACCACACAGGAGGCACTGATAAAATGGACAAAGACAATACTTCACCGCTCCATCATTGCTTCTACATTACTTTCCCCCCTAAGAAATCCAAACAGTATCTTGTTCATGGCAATGCAGACAAATTGTATTACTGAGCTGGCTCAAGATCTTTATTCCTGCAAGATTAATTTGTAATTGCTTTAAGCCTAATTAAAATTAAGATCATATTAAAGGTTCACTAGTCTGCTTGATCATTGCAAAGGAGATTATAAATTCAAATAGTATTGGGGATCAGGGATTACTCAGTGCTGAATGGATGTGGCCTTTTTATCAATAGCAAAACTTTGTTCTGTGTGCTTTAAATTACTGACTGCTGCAACCTTAGAAAGTGCTGAATGTGAAACTAATGATTTGCTTTAGGAGTATGAGTATGAGCTAATGTAGTGCAAACAGTAAAGGCTGATCATAGATTCCACATTTGCATCTGTACCAACTGCAGAGCATACACTTCCAGTTGATGGGTATCATCCTGCCCTCCTCTGCCTCCTCAAAATTAACTTAATTAGCAAAAATCCACTCTTTAAATTGTTGAAGGCAGCTGGGTTTGCCAGTTAGGGACAGGGGAATTCCCATACAAGTTGTTGAGCTGGCAGGTCAAAAGAGGTGACAATATCTGGTAGGGGAATAGTGAAAGGGCTCCAGAAGCAGCAACTCCACTGTCTGAGCAATGACCATTGCAAAATTCCTTTGGAAGGGCCTGACAGTTTGAGATGCACAGCAGTGCCTTACCAGGACATGCATGGCTGAACAAATGAATAAGGGTAATTCAGACTCCAAATACAGACCTTGTTGATTAAATAAAGAAGGACACTATTTACAGCAGGAGACTGGGAATCAAGAGTCCTGAGCCCTACTCTCACACTGCTGCTGCCTGCCTGTGTGACTGTCAGCCAGGCACTTACAGCTGAACCTTCTCAGTAAAGCAGGATTAAAAACATCCTCACAGCCCTGTAAAGCACCATGAAATCTGTGAATGGTGTGCACTCTAAATGCAAATATCATTATTAAAATATTTAGTAAAGCAACAGGTGAAGGCTATTCACTACTAAAATATGAGTTCCTTTGCTAGCTCTATATACTCATTAACCAAATGCATTTTATGCAATATAGTGCTGTCAGAGTAGACAGGTCAGAGTTCAAGAAGGTTCTGAAGTAGACAAATTTGAGGTGAGGAAGGTGGTTGTATGGAATCAAGCAGCTGACTGAACTCTGATCTATGAATCAGGCAGCTGATTGATAACTCTCCAGATGTTTGCAGTTTTTGTACAAAAAAGTCTACGCAAATAACTGTCAGTGAAGAAAGTTTCTGTGCTGAGAGAAATCGATAAAGTCTGAATGTGGAGTGAAGGAAGAGCAAAGTTCCACAGTCAATTTGTTAAGATTTCCTAGCCCTTAATTGGCCAGTTAAATAGAAAATTAGGTAATGTAAAGCTCATATATAAGTGGTACCTGTCCTGGACTGAGTGTAACAACATGGGCTGTTGAGTTCCTAAACTCGGGAAAGCGTTTCAGATCAGGGTTGGCAATGTTGACTTTGCTGAATATACTGGATTCCTCATAAGGGATCCTGGTAGGATAAAGGAAACTGGTGTCACCAGGTGGGAAGAGGTGCCATCTCTTCCTGAAAATAGAAAGAAGATAGAAATGTATTCAGTGCATGTCACTTGCAGCATAGAACTAAAGGCAGTAGCAAGGTTTTCAATAAAACATAAATCTGCCTCGCTGTGTGAATCTCCTACGCAGTGAGAACACAGCCAGTGCTTACAGGCTGTCTCCTGAAAGTGTTTTTAAAATATTCCACTTTTTAATTTTTTAACTGAGAAGATTTACAGCTTCTCACCAATCATTTTTAAAGGCAGATAAAATTTAAAAAACCTCTCCCGTCTGGTTTCTTCTTCCTCCTTTTTACATGCAGCATTTAGAGATGCTCAGAGCATTAAAAATTGCTCTATAAACTAGAGGAAATAGTTTTGTTACAGACAATGTATTTTTGCTCACTGAATGAAAAGCTTTCAAAATCTGTATTTGTTTTGAAAGGAGGGTATTGTGTGTTTAGGATGGCTACAGTAAAAGGGTGTAGACATTATCTTCTGTTTCCTTACATGGCTGTTAGTTGTGAGCCCCCCATTCTTAGTAAAAATCACCTTGATGTTCCCATGCCAAAGACAGCATGAATAAAAAACAGATACATCCATAGACAAAAGTATCCTTAAACAGCTGTATTTTTTTTGTGTTATCAGTACCACATGATGAAAATGTGGCTGGCTGTGCCTTTAAGAACTTACAGGTGTGACTAAATGCCAGGTGGAGCAGGACAGGGTTGTTCTGCTCATGAGGGCACTCATGTGCCAGGTTGCTCTCTACATGCCCAAAGAAGCACATGAATGCACCACAGTGCAAAGGCCAAGCAGAGCTGAGACCACACTTTGTCCTCAGGAGCTAATGTCTCTATTTCACTTACACAGACCAGATCAAAGAGAAAAAAAGAATATGCCAGAACTGGTGGTGCCAATTTGATGGGCATTATAAATGAAACAGCAGGTACATATAGTATTTAGAAATAGAACTTTTATATGGCAGTACTTTAGGTGATAGAAATAACCAGAAGGAATACACAAAGAGAATTTATTACATTTAAGAGGTGCCAGACAAACAGTGCAACATGACCAATGCACCAAGCAATGGAAAAGTAAAGGCAGCACTTTACAGCATAGCTGGAGAGCTTGTGTAGCTCTTCTCTTTGTTTTGGACTCTAGGAAGGGCTTTTCTTTGTTTCCTTTCCCTTGGCACTCACTTCTTGAATTCTGTCTACTGCTTCTGGTTGTCAGTTCTAAGTCACAGATCTGAAAATGGGAACAAAGCAACCAAATGGCACAAAACCAAAAGGGACAGGAACAGAAGAGATAGGAATCGCAGGACAGTCAGAACCACAGAGACCGGCACAGATGCAAGTGCCATAGGCTGCTGATATTTCTTGGTAATTACCAAAGCATGCTGGATGGAAGTATAAAACCACTTCTCCTGAAACTCAAGCCTTACTGCAACTTTATTTTGCCCTCCAAGCTAGATCCTCTGAGGGGGCAGAGAATGACTAGGTTAGGAGGCTCAGGGTTAATCCTGCAGGCTCACGGCAAAGCAATATCATAAAGCAAAAAAATTAAGAAGCCTAAGGGACGCAAGGAGGAAATTCAAGATAGCAACAAAGGGCTAAGGAGCTGTCCCTGGCTTTCCTGCAAAGGCAAATCTATTTAAGTTTAGCATAAGCTTAGATTCTGTTACAAAGCCTGTCTTGTTTGTGAGTCTCAAAAGGGAATCTTTCTGCTCTGAAGAAGCACAGGATTCACAAGGTTGTGGAAGTTTGCAATCTGTGTACAGACTTTGCTCTGAAGAGGAAAACAACTTTGTCTTTTCAAGCTGTGCAAGGGCTTTGGATTTCTTTCCCTGAGAGGAACAAGGATTTTGGTCTACTTAAGGGGGAGGAAGTGCCTTGGGAAGGTGGACAGAATTGCTGCGTGATGCTGGAATTCTGGCTCGAGTTCAGTGTCTGAAGGTACAGATCAAAGAGGCTTGGCAGGTATTGTGTCTGCTACATCACTGTACTTATTTAGTACACCCAGTATTTAAGTGGATACTTAGAAGATTATGGCATTTAAGTCTCATGGTTTTCATTGAGATTTCTGGCTCCTGAATACACTAAAGTGTCTGGACTTCAATGCACAATGCTTCCTGATGTGATCTGAAGTCTACAGGATTGGCTGCAGCACTTTAGAGGCTTCTAGAGTGTCTCTGCTGCACATCCACCCAAGGACCTCAAGGCTGTTTACAAACATGAATGAAAACCCTACACAGAGTTACCCTTCTTCAGGGTAAGATGATGACAAATTCATTTACCTCAGGCCTTAAAGCCACTCAGCATGTGGCACAGCCCAGCTAAAAGGCAACACACCTGACTTCCAGTCCTGCACCTTAATCACAACACCACCACAATCTCACTGTTCTGTAAAATGGCAGAGTAATTAATCCCATTGAAAAACCCCTAGCAGACTTCTCCTTCCACTCTATACTATAAAGCATAGAAAGTGTGTGCAAGTTGTTCTGTTACTCTAGCACTACTCTAGCAATAATAGATAACAACCCAAAAACCAGAAAAGCCCCACCAACCCTGAGGCCAATATGCAAGGAAAGGAGAAAAAAAAAAAAAAAAAGAATGGGAAAGAAAAAAAAGAAGACAGCATGCAAACAGGCAGAAAGATACAGCAACAGCCACATGCTCCCAAATGAGTTTGGAGCCTTAAATGTCCCTTTCAACTTTGCTCACAGCTGGCTGCTCCCATCCTGATGGTCCCCTTTTAAATTAAATCTAGCAGGCTATTAGAGGCTCTTGCACAGACAATATTGTAAAAGTCTAAAGTAGTTTATTTCTATTTTGTTTGGGGGCTTTTTATTTTTAACTCTTTTATCTCCTCATTCCAAATTCCTGAATTCATGACCACTAGAAGGATTAAAGTGTTTATAATTGGACCATATGACACACAGACTAGAAATTGTGTAAACTCCAGAATGCCCTGAAGTTCTGCCATTTCCTGTAGAACACTTAGGGTGCTCTTCAGTCATTGAGAACTCAGAAAACTGAAATCTGAAATAATCAGGACCTAGAATTAATACTAAAAGAGTCCAAAACTAACTTGATGCACAGTATAACTCTCTGCTGTATTTATGTGCACTTGTTACCTTCCTTGTACTTGCAGCACTAAGTTGCAGCCGTAGGAGTCCAAATGGCAGGGGGTGTTTGCTCCTTCAGAACCAATCCACAGTGTGCTCTCTTTTCCACTTCTTCCAGGAAAACCAAAGTCAGACCACCTTACATCCTACAGCAACAAAAAGGTTTATGTATGTAAGCTGTTGAACTGATTGACATCCTATCCTTAGTTCTGAGAGTCTCCTGTCTCCTTCCACTGCTCATCACTCTTATCCACTGCAGCTGTTTTTCCCTGGCTGGGTTCTGGAGCATGCACAGTCTGTTCCACTTCCTCCAAAATTCTCATCCCCACCTTTCATATCACTCAAGTTACTCCTCTGCTCTACAGAAGGGCTGCCCAAATTTGCATGGCCACATGGGGCTTCTTTTCCTTTTCAAACACTCTTTTTTATCTTTCTTCACCCTTAACCGTCCACCCAAGGTCAGGATTGCTTTTAGAAAAATTCTTATATATGGCATTTAAAAAGATAATGAAAGGAAAGAAGGAAAGAAAAATCCCTATTGCCTTTTCAAACAATTGATAATCTACGTGGAATTTTTGCTCTCTCCTTGCTCCTATTTCAGCTTTCTCCACATAGTCTGGGAACACAGACTTTACCCATCTGTGACCCAGTGTTATGCCAGATTAAGTTGCTTATTATTTTATGGACACATTTGCAACTGCAGAAGCAGTGAACTTAACTTGATGACAGGAGAAAGGGCAGAACAGGTGTACACTTATTATGAACACAGTGCTGGATCTTTCCAGTCCATTGATCCTCCCACAAGCAATCCCTTGGGCCTGACAGCTGGAAAGAGGCACAGTGAGGAATTTTTCAGACAATCCAAGGGTTTTGCAGAATGGTTCTGTGTAGCTTGGATAAAGCTTTCCCGTGTATCTACAGCTCACCCTGCCACCTGCAGGGCCTGATCATTTGTTTATTGGAAAGCACTTGAGGAATACTGGCCAGAGATACTGGCACCTTTTGGCTGGAGCCCCAGACTGAGCCTCAGGAAACAGATTAAATTTCTGGCTTCCCGATGGTCTCGGGCAAATCGCTTCATCTCTGAGTTTTATTTTTCCCATCTTGAAAAGGAAGATAATGGTATTTGTTCCATTTCAGTAAAGCACTTTGGGGTCATTCACATCACCTAACTTTAGGAACCTAATTTAATCTTGGCTCCTGCTCTAGTCAAAGCACTCTCAATCAAGCCTTGGAAAAGCCTCTCTCTTTCTGCTGTCTATAAAGAGAAAATAGGAGTCTAGGAGTCCTAATTTAAGTATGTAAGCTTGCTGCTTGCAGACAGGTGGATGACTATCCTTTTTTAAGATCTATGGATGACAAAAAATACAGCTAGACATTATAAGGATGACTTCACCACGACTCTGCGTCAGGAGACCCTCAAAATGAGCGATAGCCTTCCCAAAATTAGGTGTTGCTAAAGATTCTGAATTTCAGCGTTATTGATTTTAAAGATATAATGCAAAAAAAATGCAGAAGTGTAATATAAACATTTGTCAAAGACAGCAAAAGATCAAAAAGAAAAAGTTGCTTCTATAGATTTCAGCAGGCATAAAATTTGAAATTCAATACAACTATTTCAGTGAAAAAGTTAAGCGTAGCACCATTTCTACACTTTAATCTCACACCTAAATAGTTTTTATATTTTGTTACAATTTAAGTGAAAAGAAAGCACACATAATCAATATTAGATTTAAAAGAACTCTTTGAAAATGCTCCTGCTGTAGTAAATAGTTGAAGCGATTATGGGTAAAATAGTTTTTAACCAATGAACTGAAAAGGAACTGGTAGTATTACTGAAATCTTGTCACACTGGGTTCCTTTTCTACAATAAAAAGCCACAGTAAGAAGAAATGCACTAAAAGGTGTTCCAACCATAACAGATGGCACATTACTTGTGATATATATTTATTTCATTTGCTGCTTATAATGAAGTTAATCTGTACCCGTATGTCACTTTAAAAGGTCTCATTTCTATTTAAACTTCATGCATGTATCTTGCTCCTGATTTATATCTCAAATTCTGTAATGAAATATCAACTGAACAAAAAATGTAAGATGCTAGATATTGCTCATAGATTAGAATAATGGAATCATTACCTTAGCCCACACAACTGTAAATGATAAACAGTGCAATCTAAATTTCAAACAACTTCTAAATGGCCCTATTAATCACTATAAATAACAGTGCAGTTGGCCTTCTTTTCCCCTTCAAATAACCTCACGTAAATCTAAATAAAATCTAGAAGGAAAAAATGGAGTTATCATCAAATTCACACAAGAATGGAAGAGAATTTCTACAAAGAACTCCTTTGGCTGGTATAAATTGTGTAGCAGTGTTTCAAAAACCATGTGAGTGTGGAACTGATGGATGCATTTCTCTCCCATGCCTGTGAAAATGGCAGATGACACACACCATATTTGCTTGCATAACACCACCAATTCTTTCCTTCCCATATTCTGCTTTTCAAAAAAAAATCCATGGCATAACCATTATGTGTGTGTATTCTAAAACTGCAGTACAATCTGTTGTGTTGTTAGGTCAGGTGATCAGATTGTGGCATGGCACCTGCACAGAAATGCAACTCCTGGAGCCTCAGCTTTGTTCTTGAATGGGGGCAAGGGAAAGAAAAAGGTAGAAAATGGTTGTGTCCTTCAGCTGTGAAGGAAGCAGTAGGATATTCAGAACTTCTGAGCTGCTGTTGGCTTCTGCTGGAAGACACATGGAAATGCTGTCTGTGGAGGCAGAAAAAGAGAAGACCAAGACAGGACCACAGAGAAAGTTATGCAAAGATCTAGGGAAGCCTGAAACATCCCTGGAGCTCCGAGTTTAGTGCAGACAACACAAACCAGCCCAAGGTTATGTGATCCTGGTTATGTTTCAGTGTGCTCAGGAAGGGAAGGGGGAAAGAAAGGTAAGGTGATCTCTGTGCCCAATCCTTACCTTCTGACCCAACAGAAAGTCTGAAAAGTCTGGAAGTCTGAAAAAAGACTGATCACTGAAAACCACCAATTTTACAAAAGAATAAAATACATATGAGGAGCATGGGAAATGCTTTCTGAGGAAATAATTAATTTGACGGGGCTTATCAGTTCATACTCATTGTCACCCCAGTGATGCAGTGATTTTACAGGGAATTATGATTCCATTTTCACCTTTCAAAGTATAGAAATGAATAAGGTTTTACTTACTCTTTCTTTACATCTTTTGAAGTATACCTTTTGTATAGCTATCCTTAATTTTGCCCTTTTACAATTTGCAAGAAGTAGCAGGAATGTAGATGAAGCAAGACATTGAAATAGAAGATAGGCAAAGAGAAAATAAAAGGAAATACCTTGGGTAGTTTTCCTACTGTGTATGGTAATTACATACTTCCATGGACAGGTTACTTCCTGTATTTTACTGCCTCCACAGAATCTCTCCTCCTCACAAACAGTTAATCTAATTCTATTAAGGAAAGGAGCTGAGCTACTTAAGAAAATGAGCCACGAGGCAAAACATGGAGCAGAGCCATGTTACAGCCTTGTTACTACAATGAAATACATACCATCAATCCTCCCTCCTGAGTGGAGCTGTTAATTTGGGCACCATTTGGGTGCAAGGTGGATCTGGCCTAAATGGGAAGGAGAGTGATGCCAGCCTCGTAATTCTTTTATGTCACTTGGGATGGTATTTCTAAATTTATAAGGAGACCCAGAATTTTGATGGCTGCCACTTGGCAGATTTCAGTTAGTCTGAGAGCTAATAGCTTTTATTTCAGAATTTTAAAATAAGTGGGCAAAGGAGCAGAGAGGAATAGCAGTAGTGGTTTCAGAAGCTACATTAGATAATTTGCAATGGTTCAACTAGGAAGAGATAATATTAATGTTTTACCTGGAATATTTCTGGCTTGTCTTCAAATATCCTGGCAATGTACTTGTAGTCAGCATAAGCCCAGTATTTGGAGTAATCATAACAACTGAATGGTCCAGAGAGACAAGAAGGCTGCCCAAAACTCCAAGCCAAAAACTCCTCAAGTGTAGCTTCCACGTAGCTGCAACTGGTTTCAAACTGGGGAACTACAGCAGCAAAAGAAAAATCAAATATTACGTGAGCATTGAGCATAGAACCAGTAAAAATAATACAGTTTCTTTCAGCTCTGGTTAAATGCAACATCAGATACAAATCTGACTAGGTAGCTTGACTCTGGTCAATAAAATGGTTCTCATGACCTTACTCATAAGTGAAGTCTGAAACTATTGCTTTTTCATTAAGGTTTAATTGAATGGCTGTTACCTTGAACATGCTGTGAGACAAAAGCAGACCAATAGTTAGTATTGTTCTTCAGCATAGTAACTCAATAACACACCCAAGTTCACTAAACAACTTTGCTTCATCTCCCTTCCTAATTGTGAGTTGCAAATGTGCACATCAAGTATTTCTGTATCCTTTATTTTGCCTCCCTAGATTTATGCAGATGGACATGTTCATCTTACCCTTTCCCCAAAGCAATGACCAAACCAGTGTGGTCATGCATAGAAAGTGAGATATGGAACCACACACATGCTGCCAATGATCCATCTAAAATGCTGTGTGCCCTTATTTTTCATTTGGGACTGACAAAAGCATATTGCAGTGTTCCTTGGCAGACACAGAAAGTGTTTACCAGCAGGGTTTTGCTCCCAGCATGCTTTGGTCAGGCTGACTGATACAGCCTTTCAGCTCAAGGTCAGGTCACTTGGAAGGCCTGTAAGAGAGCCCACTGCACAGTATATTTTAATTGCAGTTAATCAGAGATCTTAATTCCCCACCACCACTAATTGTGCCATCTTCAAAGAGACTTATCCACTGTTAAAAAAAATATTACTTTACTATAACTACTACTGGGGAAAAATTACTGCAGCCTGCATGAATGACAATGACAGAGCTGCAATTTAATCTTGTGTAACTTGCATAGAGCTGCCCAGAAATGGGATCCTTTCACTGCTGTGCAGCAGCAGCTCTTCTTTACCACTTTCATTTTGTTACTGCAGCAGTTCTCACACAATCTCATACAGCTTTTACAAACCTTTATCACTATTATTTTCCCTTGTAGTAGCAGAGGTAGTGGTTTCCTTCCCACTACTATCAAATCATTAACTAAAAATGTCTGCGGATGGGCTCCCTACCTAAGGACTGCATACAAGACATATAAATCACTTGCAAGTCACAAAATCACAACCAAAACCCTCTGTGTCGGATCCTATATCTGTGTTGCAGCCCCTCTCCTGATACCCAGGCTTTAATGCAATGTTTATCATTTTACTAAAAGATGGTCTGACAGAAAGATTAGACAAAAGATAGAAGCTATACTGAAGGCGCCTGTATTACTTTCATGAGAAAAAAGAGGCCACTCTTTTTTCACTTCATGACACTCTTAGGACACTGCCTATTTTCCAAGATAACTCAGAAGCAAATGTTTTAAAGACAAGAAATATGCTCTTTCTACCGCTCAGCATATTTCACTCTGAGTTTCATTTTAAAAAAATCCAACTATGAAAGGCAAGACTATCTTGTAGAATACAATCTCCTCAGGGCAGGGTTCTTGGTTTGATTTATCCCTTATTCAGTACCAAGGTATGGGTGCTTATGGAAAAATAAATAGTAATAAAAAACATATTTGGGCAATCTAGACTGTTTGCTTAGATGGGTTTGTAGGTTGTAGGCTGCAACAAGGGTGAGAATGTTAGCAATGAGCAATGGAAAGCATGACATTATTAACCAGTTTGCTAATACTTAATTACTTAAAGCTGAGGGTGTTTTGTAATTGACAAATTGCAGATTAAGCCGTGCAAGTCTAAAGTAGGCTGCCAGTTCTGTCTGATGACACGGTACCTGAAGGCATAACAGTCCTCCTCTTTCCCCTAATGCCACAGATTGAAACTGGAGGGGAGGAGAGAGGGAAAAATGGGTTTTAGAGAAGCAGCTCTCCTCCTTAGTTAAGGTCTGGTTCTGAGAGTTGCCAAAATCTGTTCTTCTCAGAGTGTTTTCAAGGAAACATGTGAAAATGTAGGGAAAAAAAAAAAAGGTGTAATAGCCTTAGAAAACACCTAAAGCTCCATTAAGAATGCAAGTGAAATATCTTCTCCATTTCTTGAAAGACAACCAAACCCCTATTCACAGCTGCCGGGGAATTAAACAAATAATTCAAGCAAGGAATAGCCACTTCCTACTCTAACAAAGCACAGGCATACTCACAAACAAAAAAACCTGGCCATGCACATCCAACTTCAATAACCACTTCAGATCTCAGCTTTATGCAAAATTTAATCAGTATTTGTACTGTGTTTTCAGCCTCCTATTCAGGTACCGATTCTGCAGCAACCTTTGCAGTCTCCCTCTATATCAAACCTCAGAGACCTGAATTGTTTTGCCATCCTTAGTTTTAGTGGTAAAACCTGTTTGGCAAGATGGTGAAGTTGCAGCCCTTTCGTATCAAACCTCAGAGATCTGAATTCTTTTGCCATCCTTAGTTTTTAGTGGTAAAACCTGTTTGGCAAGATGGTGAAGTTGCAGCCCTTTCCTATCCAGCTGCACATCTGACAGCATCAGCTCTATCCAGCATCAGTGAGAGAAACATCCTCCAGAGATCCTGTGACTCAGAAACTGATCAGCATGACAGCTTCTTGTTCTCTCCAGCTTCTTCACAGTAAACTCATTGTTGATTCATTTTACTATGCAACCACCAAAAATGGTCAAAACAAGAAATGCCTGCATACAGAAATCAGTTCCGTGTAAGTTTTCTCCTAACTTTGTGCTGTTGTGCTCCAGGTAGCCATCAGACACAACAGCTGTAATGCTACATTTTCTCTGTCAGAAGCAAAACTTCTGAAGCTTTGGCCTATCCCTTATCCCATCCTTATAAATCTTTTAGTGTGGCTGGAACCAGATGGGTAGGGATTTCCTGATTAATAGCATCTTCACTGTTCTTGTAATGAACTCTGGTACTCTCTTTGAAGGTATCTTTTGTCAATGCTTAGTCCTTTGATTGTAGTTTTTTCCCTTTCTTATGGACACAAACTGTTTAACTTGTGAAATCAGATGGAATACTATCAAACACACACTTAGGTACAAATAATATACACAAGTAATACTGCTAGCTCTCACATTTTTCCATGTTTCAAATGTGCCATCCACATCGATTTGCCTCAGGAAATTACAAACTAGTAAGGAAAACAAATATAAAATCCTTGCAACTCCCACCAAGTTGCCCCATTTGCAATTCTCACTTTTGCACATTAAGGAATCTTCAGCTTGGGAAACCCATCCAGGCTGCAGATGTGGCACTAAAGAAAGATGAGGAGTTGCTGTAGTAAGAGATCTCCACGAATTTTGGGTTTTCCAGATGAACCTCACTTAAATAACCCCAGAAACTTTGAAGCTGCCATTTCAGAGTGTCACCAGAATGTGCCTTTAAGCAGGAGAGTGGATTTTTTCTTCGGCATTTCCAACTCCATAGTAGGAGTCATCCCACCTAGTCTTAAGGCAATAAACCTCTTGTGAACATGGAAGGAATATTCAGAGGGATCAATGCAATTTTAGTAGTATTCTAAAATAGAAATTCTGTTCTCTCTCTGAGCAGATAACTGGCTCCATTTCACCTAGGAAAGTTAGCAGGAACAATAAGTAAGAGAGACCCTCATTAAAAGTAGTTTTAAGCATGCAATAGTGAGATCAACCACCTTCCAAATGACAGTGGCACACGGAATGTGTTACATTATTTCAGACTCTGAGATGGCTTGGATAATGGCTTCACTAATATATTCTTATATTGAAATTTTTTATGGCATCACAGGTCTCATTCAGTTACAATATAACCCCTGAAGGCTTTACCAATCTCCTTGAAGACAATTCTAACCAACATTACCACATAATGGAGGCTCCTGGAGACAAACTGATTGCTGCACAGGGATAAATGCCTTAGGAAAAAGCGAAATGCAGTTAGATGCTTCAAGATATAAATTCCAATTTAAATCCACTCTGTATCTCTAGTGACTACAAGTTATTGTTAAGTGATGACTCTTATCTACTCAGTTGGTAGCATCAATCTGTGACTTAGCTACGTAACACTCATCAGTCCCATCAGGAACTCTGCCAGTTGGAACATCCATCTGGCTCTCAAAAAGTGCCTACTAATTAATAGGGAGTAGGACCAAAACTACTCTTTTATCTGGTAGGCTTTCTGTGTTACAGCTCAGATATATTAATAAGGTATAAGGTTACAAGATATATAGGCAACAAGGAAAGTGTCATATACATATATGTATATACATATATGCTACACCTTCTTTCCTTCTCTATTGGCAATGGGATGCATTTCACACTTAGTGCAAGAATGAGGTGTACCTCATTGAATTACAGAGATATTGCTATAAAGATGTGTACCAAGGTTTTAATTCTACACCTCAGTTTTCCCATCTGTAGAAAGTGAGTAAATAATATCTCTTCCCCCCAGGAATGGCATAGAAATCATTAATCCATGCTGGTAAAATGCTTTGAAATCCTAACACGCCAAGCATTTTCTCTCTAACACTTCTGTTTCATCACTTCTCTTGCAAAAATTGAACATGAAATAACATGGTCATGATGCTGTGAAGAAAGCAAATTTCACAGTGTTAAGTAAGATAGTATGATGTAATCCTACCACTTTCACTGGATCTGGCAGACCCTCATCTGGAGCCTTTGTGCAGACTCTACATTCCAAGAAAGAGGAAGTCCAACTGAAAAAGGTTAGAAGACTACAGAAAGAATAGTTGGGTGGGATCTAAAAGACCGTGACATATTAAATATTTTTAAAGTGGATTTTTTTGGCCTAAGGGTTAAAAAAAATCCCAAAGATAGTCAAGATAGTATATAGGCAGAAGGGAGAAAGTGCATGGCAAAACGTATTTTGGTATGTCATTGGGAGGGCAAAGGATGTAAAGGGCAGGGATAAAGCAGTGCAGAACCTTTCAAGTAAATAGCAGATGGAACATGTTTCTTCTATCTCCCCTCCATGGTATGAAACTCAGTCTGTCCATGGACACACTACTATGTGGCTACAGAGAGATGAAGTTGTAGTATTTAAAATCAAGCTGTAAAATTGTCTTTCTCCCATGGTATGTTCCAAGATGTATGAGTGAATCTGGAGGGTTAGCAGTGAAATTATTGCACTGGTGTCAAATGATTTTCTTAATGCTTTATACTTCCATTATGTCTTCCATCACAGGACCTTAAAGTACTGAAAATCACCTAAGTCTTAAAAAACTCTGGAGGAAGGTGAGAATTACTACCATACAGATAAATACCCCAAGTCTGGCTGATTATTTAGCTAATTCCTTAACACAGTCAGGCTTATGGAGATGGAAGCTCCGCTCATGTGAACAATCTAATCATGTATAAGACCAGGACCAAACACACACACTACAGAGCAAGGAAGGAAAACTGAGACACTTGGTTCTTAAATGGTGGTGTTACTCCCCAGACCTCTTACTGGGAATAAACACATGAGAAAGACAAGGGACAGTTCTACTGCTGACCAAGTCCCATTCCTAAAAACAAAGCCTGCAATGAAAAGCAATACGTTAGAGAAAAAACAGTTATAATGAAAAGGCAGATAATTGCAGGACCTGGAAAAGAGACTTGTGACACTAATGCCTGTCCACCTCATTCTCACCTAAATCCACTGTCTTCAAGCCCAGCCTGAACTGGATTGTCTTTCCCTCCAACACAGCAGAAAGGTATTTCACATTCCAGTGCAGGGCTGGCCAGTTGCCAACCATGTTACAGAAGACTGCAGGTTGCTGTAGCGACATCACAATTTCCTTGGTTTTCTCAGGAGTAAATGGTTTGACATCTTCATCTACGTAAAGAAAAAAACAGATGAAGAGAGATGATTTATCATACATGAAGTGTTACCTACCATCTTCCATGGGACGGAAAACAATAAGAACTAAGACCTCCTTTGTTTATGACTGTTTTATCACATTTGTAGATTTTTAAAAAATCAAAGTTGTACTGCAAACACTGGAAGAACTAAATTAAAGTTTAAAGCGGTGTATTAGCACATAACATATAAAGCAAAAAATAAAAATAGGCACATGCTTAGAATTATCACTTGTATCTTAGGCAATAAAGCACTGTAGCCAAACTGCTTAGAAATAGGCTAACAATAAAATAAACTTGCAAATAATGTTCAGAGTTTAGAGAACATAAATTTAATGAGTAACAGTTTTTCTGCATGGGATTCTTTCCAGAATTGTAGTGTATTGTCAGAGGTAGCAAACCAGCCCTCCATGTGCTCTCTTTAAACTGAGGAACAGTAGCACAACCAATCAGCAGGTATTTTTGAAGTGTTTTAAAATTTCATCAACAGAATTTTAGAAAAAGGAAATTATGCCAATCCAAGAACTAAACTAACCCAAGATTTCCATTTATTCCTTTGCTGTTTAGAGATTTATATGCCACACTGAAACCATCAACCTGAAATGCTGGCAATCTTGAATTAACTCAGCACTTTCAGAAGAACTTTTCTTTAGGGACACATTCAGAGGGAAAATCTGGAGTTTTTTAAAAGGAATGACATCTCCATTGAGCGGAAGAGGTGGACCACAGTTTCAGATCATAAAAAAATCCATTCATTATTTTAACCTCTACTGAAGTTAACTCATCCAGAATTTATATCTGTATAACGGCTAAGATTTAACATACTGAATCATAGCCGTGATACATATGTGACTTCCAGCAGTTTATTTAAAACAAACAAACCAATTCAATTCAATCATTGTATTTAGGGGTCAAATGATGGTCTGGCATACACGATGAGTTAAATAAATACAGGCCAAGAAAATTTCCTTCACTGCTGGGTGCTAATTTCGCCTGTCACCTGTCCCCATGTATGGGAGATAGCAGAGAAACACCCAGTGGCACATGGGGCAACCCTGTGGAGCCAGCTGGGGGAAACACAAGATGACCCACTGGGAACAATGCCACTGAGCAAAGTTCTTCAGGGTTAATTTAAAAGCAACAAAAATCCAAAATAAATTTATGGATGCTGAAGTGGGAATGACAGGAGTAATAGGTGTCCTGTGCATGCTGTGTGCTGTATCTTCTTGGTAACTTCTGTGAGTCCCTCTTCTTTTGACAGGGTTTATCCTCCCACATAGCTGTGCTTTTTGGTTTTCTAAATTAGGCTGCTATCTTCACACAAACTCAGTGGGAGGTATTGGGGCTGGGCTTTCCTAGAGTCAATGGGTCTCTTATCCCACAGACTTCCAGAGAAACCAAATCCCTCACTTCTCCCTCATGAAAACTCCATTGTGAAGCTTTAAAACCGAAGACCTCTGGTATTTTATCTTCATGGAACATAACATTTTTAAATGGCTTCTCTTTCCTAAGACAGACGACAGGAGGGAGCTTGGATTTTGGTTTGTTTTCCACATTTCCTCTCATACGCAGAGCAACACTTGACAGGATGGTGTTGCTGTGACACAGGGATGTCTCTGACACTTGGCCCTCAGTCTCACACCAGCAGCTTACACAAGCAGGCCATAAGGAGGCCTCACGGGGACCGTATGCCTCACCATATGCTCTTCCCCACGCCGGGAGGAGGCTTGGGGCTGCCCAAGGAGCAGGTTAGCACACCTACAGGAGCAGCTCCAGAGCAGGCAAAGGACCATCTGCAGGCACAGGAGCTGGCTGCAGGCACGGCAGGAGGGCAAGGCTCAGCTGTTTCTTCACAGCCATTCTGTTCAAGAGCTAATGCAAGACTTGGTCCAGATCTGAACGCTCCCAGGGGGTTTATAAAACTTGTGTCTTTCACCAGTGCAATTATAATAATGTACAGAGGTGGCTTTCACCATGTGGGAGCTGGCAGGCCTTACCTACCTTTCAGATTTTCCAGCTCATAAAAATGAAATTACTTCTGTTTAGGCCATGTTTATCACTGCATGGCTGTCTTTCTGACTACTCAGGGTTTTTTTTTGCTTTAAGGGCACTACATTTAAGTATATTACAGGATGTAAATGCAAATAAATGCAAGAAACTGGTGACACCTTTTTGGAGGATTTTGTAAAGCTGACATTTATTGCAAAAGTTTCAGGTTTATCCTGTAACTTCAGTGAACAGTTGGGATGTGCTACAAAAGCAGAAATTTTACTGGAAAAGACAGGAGGGCTCTTTGAAGCCAACTGTTGATTCTGTGTGGCTGTCTAATGCGATTTCCACATGCACATCATGCTTTTGCAAGGTGTGGTTTTAACCACAGGGCATACACACACAGTGGGAAGCTCAGAGCTGAAGCTACTGGGACAGTAGGCCACTGGCAAACAAAAAACCACAATTAGGCTAAATAGCCCCTCCTCATGATTGTCATGTCACCGTGTTCAGTTGTAAACATATTTCCCTACGAAATCAAGAAAAAACAAAAGAGGACAGTCTGTCTTACTAAGATGCTAATAATTCCTATCTTCAAACAGTATTAAAACCTTTGATAAATAAGTATATATCTTCTCCTGATATAGATAATTACATACAATACCTATAATGCACAGTGACATTTGAAACATTTTAGAAAATTTAAAGACTTAAATAAATATACGTTAGGGATTTTTGCAAAGACAAATGCAGATTCTTGCTAGATCTGTGTGAAGAATCCGTGTCTTGATTCGCCTTTGTATATTTCTTGGTGAGAACAGAGTCAGCTCTAAAAGTAATTCTTTCCCTATAACACTTGTCATGCATATCTAAGTGCCTGCTAGAGAAAAAACACTTGACAAAAGGTAAATATCGTATAATACAGCAAATAGATATTATGATAATTCGGAGAACTCTGCTCAAGACCAACAGAGATTTCTGATGGAACCATATGCTGTAGGAGTGGGGAAAAGTAATTAAAAGAGATATCTGAAGATAGAAGATCTGAAGAGAGATGAGCAGGGTTATAGTTTAAAATAATAATTTCCACAGTTATTGTTATCATAGTTTCACAAAAACCTTGTAAACTGGGCTGTTGCTTCTTGGTATTTTTTAGCCTGAGACTGATGGTAATTGAGTCCAAGGCAAAACCTGAGGTTGTGTAGCATATATAAACACATACAGTTTCGCTACAGATGTGCACAAGTAAAAGGTGACCAAATAAAATGTGCAGCACAAAAGAAAAATATCCATTGCACATCTTAAGCATTAAATATCAAATTCCTAGGGGAGACTGGGTAGCAGGAGAGAATAGAAATGCATATTCCCTTGAAAAAGAAAAGCTCGGTGGGAGTCTTCATTTTCTCAGCTGTACTCTGATCCACAAGAGAAAAGGAATACTTCAACTTAGCTCTTTCTATCAGACTCAACAAATGGTGTGACTTCACAGTACAAAAGAAAGCAGGAATAATTTGTCTCATGTTTTGACTTTACCCAAGGCATGTACAGAATCCAACCAGGAACTAAAAAAATGAACCAAATTTTAGCTCAAGTTTTGTAACTGCGGCAGCTTATATAATTGGCAAAAAACATAGGTGTTCTTTAGAAAGGCAACACCTTGCCAAACAGAGATCTCCCAATTAAAAAAAGAAAGCTCTCCAGTTGTCTTTACACAAAGTACTGTCAAACATTAAGCCTCATCTAGACTTAGCACTGAGGGCAGGTAAAAGAAAAGTAATGAATTGGCCAAGTACTCTCCAGCAGACTTTGTGTTTCCGAAACAGAAAATAATTTAATGATTATGATTAAAAAATTTTCTGAATAACTGAGTAGGGTTTGGGAATTAAGAGTTTAGCACAGCAGGCAGTCTAACTAAAAGTGGACTTGATCAAAGTTGTTCAGAAGTTAAATGTACAGTCATTAAAAAGCTAAATGTACTGTCATTCATTTAAAATAATTTAGCAAATTATAAGAGTTCATTAATGTGTGGCAGTTGGCTTCTGCCAAAACACCCTGCTGCTTAAATATGAGATTTAATTGAGAGGTATTAAAATTATTTTCTAAAATAGGGAGTACAAGGAAATCCTGGTAATGTATTTGGTACATGCATCATCAGATTGTTTTTCTAGCAAATCTGTAATGCTCCCTTTTCCTTACTTCTTTTATTAAAAAAAAATTAAAAATAAAAGAAAAAAAAAATTTTGAATACATTAATACAGAGCAGCCAGGTGAGACAAAAAAAAATCACCTAACCTACAGAATCTTAACTATTCAACAACCAGGCATGGGAAAAGAGAAGGTATGAGGGAAGATGAGCAAACTCCCCAACCAAATATAAGTGACGTGGTTTGGAGGTCAGACTTAATGGTTTTACAGTACATTAACTCTGTAAATTAAAAAACCAACTTTAAATAATCCGCATGTGATTACAACACTATGCACTATAATCAGCCTCCTCTGGGCAAACAGAATGCCTCCAAATATACATGTGTAGTTTTCAGGATAGGCTGCACCAACATCTAGGTGTTGCCTGCTAGCCAGTTATTGCTGTTGCTATTAGTTTGGACTGTGGGAATGTTAACGCTGTGAAGGCACAGAGCCAGCAGGCAGCTACCCCAGATGTGCAGATGTTTTGGTTACTGAAGGAGAGGTGGTAGTTGCATGGAGACTCTGGACAGACCAGTCTGCACTTGTAAGACTGGCAGCCCCAGCTCACTCTGGCAGCCTGCAGCCAACACAGCCTTCCTTCCTCTCCGAGACTGCTACCGCAGAGGAGGGCAGCCAAAGGAAGAAAAGAAGTAGCCTAAATGAGGAATTTGGACTCAATTTCCAGCGCTCCCATGGCAGGGCTGAGCATCTTACAGTATTTCTTACAGGAAGTTGAGTGACTTCAGACGTGAAATAAGATAGGAGTGGGAGCCATGCCCAAACCTCATCTTGTCCTTCCGATAAAGCAACGGGAATTGTTGCCAGACTCCTTAGGGAGGAGTAGGGGCTGAGCCCAGAACACAGCTCTGGGAGGGGCTTCCCCCCACCACTCTAAATGACAGTACATCATCTCAAGCACAAGTTTAGGAAATTCCTCCCCTAAATGCCCTAAAGCTCTTCCTCAAAAGCTCTTCCTGAACCCCTGGACAGCTTCTGCCTGATGTCTCTCCTCCGTCCTGCTGTGCAGGTTCCGAATGCAGTCCTGCCAGTTTCCAGCTCACGAACTGAATGCCGAATGACCTCAGCTCCTCTGGTCTCCTCCAGTAGAAGAAATGCTTGAAGGAAAAGTCTGTGGTCTTTAACCAAAACCTTCCACCAGGATATAAAAAGATAGACTATTCTTCCTTAAGCTAGGCTGCCAAAATTCCACCTTTCTGTTAGTCTATGGGGTGTAAATTACACACACCTGCTACTGAGGAAATTCAGTAGCTGAACCGTGTCTTCCCAGTAGCCCACTGGCACTGATACACATTTCTGACATTTCCTAATAAACATAAAATTAATATAAAATTCAATACTAATATAGCATTATAATTGAAAGTAAGGGAACTGGCGTGTCAGGAAGTTAGCATGTATTTCTAAGAAAAAAACCCAATTTGTTCATATTATAAGCAAAATTTATTTGTATTTCTTTTTCTTTTCCTTGTCAGTAGTAAGTATGAAAGCACTACTCTTAAACAGATGAATACACTGTATAAAATTCACTGTCAGAAACTGTAACCAATTGTGACTTTATTGTTGTTCAGTCCTGCAAACTTCACTGACAAGAATTTCAAAATGGCAGCAGCAAAAGAATCTAAATCTTCTCATTCACACTATTTTCTCATAAGGTACTGTAGTAAATAGTCAATAGTGTTCTCAAAATATGTGCTTTTTTTCCTACAAGCTATTGTAATGAATAGTAATTAATACAATGGAGCCTTTTGAATTTGACCCTCAAAGGGGTTATGACGGTAGTATACATGACCTTGTTCACTACCATACTGTGCAGGATACAAATTATGATTAATGACTGAGTCAATTAGAGATATAATTAATTGTCAGAATGAAATTATACTTTAAAAGAGTAAAAGAAGTCTTTGAATTACATGAATTATCGACTTGAAAGAGACCCACCATGTGAACCTCAAGAACAGTTTCTGGAATGTACAATAAGGTATTAGATTCGGGGATTGCCATTATTATAGTAATACTGAAGAAAAAGCATGGCTGTTATTCCATTGTTTACATCATTCCACTTCTTTCAGCATGGCTAAAACAACCAGAAGTGCTTTTAATCTTTGCTTCACATTGCTATTTCTGTTTATAAAGGTTCTCACGCTGCAACATGAATTTTGTTGGTGAAAAACTGTTAACAGTGTATGTTTTGAATCCTGGGGTTCATATAGACTGTAACAATATTGCTTTGACATAATGTCAAGAACACACTTGACCAAAATAACCCACAAAAATGTGAACTACCAAGGGTTTATAATTTAATTTTCAACCTTAATATGCTAATGTTGGTTCTGTTGTTTAATATAACTATTAAACATAAACTCTTCTTTTTAGCAGAAAAAGCACAGCCTTTTTACACAGAAGCTCATATTTCATAACTTTGTAATACAACAAACTGCTGCTAAGTGATGTCAAAATATCGTTAGCATTTTCCCTCCAGAGATTTTCTTTATCTTTTCTTTTTCAAATAACAGCTGCCTGCAAAGTTTCTTTATCTGTAAACACCAAGCTTAAATATCAGAGAAGATCAGGGACTGCAGGCCCAAGTTTCTACTCAGATCACCATGAACTCCTGTTGTAATCAGCTGCATCTGCATTTCTGGAGACTGAAGGTGACCTTTAATTATACAACAAACTATGACAGTGCTGCTGCTTTGAATTTTTAAAGTTTCTTGCAATATGCAAAATCTACTAAAACTCAGTATTTTTCAGCCTATCAGTAAATAGGGAAAACTCCCTACAGTAGAAGAGTTTCAATATTTTCATACTCTTTTTAAACATTAACATCACTCAACTCAGCATTGTCTGATGTAATACTAGTATTAGAAGAAATTATGTCTTTTATGTCTGGTCTTCACAAGTATGAATTTTACATAGAATTTTAAGATAACCCCCTGAACATTAGCAAAATAATAAAACTGTGAAAGGTTAAAGTTGTACTTTTATGCCAAGACATCCAAACTACCTTACCATTGCTCTTTTTTAAAATACTCTTACAGAACCCAAAATCTCATGCTATTATATCTACTCCCAAGAATTTCATTGTGTCTGTGATCACAAAGCATAGAATAGTTTAAACTTTATTCATATGTGTCCCAGTTGAGAAAAGCACAGACAAAGAAATAATCAATTCAGCCTCTTCTTTCTATATGAAATTACATGATAGGGTCACATTTTCAAAGACACAAACAACATTTTGTGAGCTTTATGTCCTCAATATGGATTTGATCCCAAACACCTACCCAGACAATCAGGTCTTCAGACAACTCATTTGCAGAGCCCACAGCATACCTATTGTATGACAGCTAAACGTGACTAGACCAACAGAAACAAACTCCCTAATGTCTACACTGTTAATTATAGCAGAGAGGTAATTAAGTTACCCCTTGCTGCTTCCATGTAAGACAACAGGAGAACAATGGCACAGTCTGATAAGAAATGAGAAACACATGCACCACAGACACAACGGACAGACCAGTACCAGAGCACCATGACTATCTCTCCTTGCTGGCACCAGAGACAATGACAGCTGCACTGAGGCAGTCCTAGGACAGGGATACAGTGGAGATTTTCACCCTGTATTTCCCAATTCAAGCTTAACATCCTGTGACTCAGTTCATTTGCATAATTCTCAGGTTCTCAGGAAGAGAGGAAACCATCAGTTCTTGAAACTGAATTTCCTTAACATAACTTTGGGGTGTAAAATAGTCCACTGATGTCTTTTGCAGTTACTTGCACATGGTGGCCCTGAATAAAATGAAACAACATAGGGCCAGAAGCCTCCAGTAGTCTGCAGAAGCTGGAGTTCCAACACAAACTCCCTAAAATGTCTAAGACATGGAGCCTGAAGGCTAAGTAAGGCAGGGAAGTAGCTAACAAAATTACTTTGATGAAAAACATCATGTAGCTTCCACCTCCCCCTCAAAGAAGATACAATCATCACTTACATGTTCATCATTAAGAAGGTGATGAATAGCAGAACAAGCAGAAATGGAGCACAGAATGCTTTAAATGTGCTCAAAGCCCAAGTCAGATGTGACCTTTGCATATTCCTTCTGAGAGCTGCAGTAAAGAACCTACAGTGTGGGGTATAGGGAATCTAGTGACATGTCTTTCATTAGCCAGACAGAAAAGGTAGACTCCACAAGAGAAGGGAGCTATCCCACCTCTCCTCAGAGAATCTTACAGTGGGCTCTGGCTCACCACAAACCTGGAATCATCTACACTACAATGGTCACTCTGCAGTGGGAAAATACACAGCCTGCAATCGAAAGGTATAAATGAATTCCCCACTGGAAAACTCTGAAGTTTGAATTTAAGAATAAAACTTCTCAGCTTTCATAAGCTAAAGATGTGTCTGGTCTGTATTTTTGCTTCTTGCTGATACTACAAAAAAGGAAGAACTGTAAAACCTGAAGAACTAGGAAATCACTGTACAACGTTAGAGCTGGAGTGTACATACTTCTCAATAAAAAAGAAAGGCAAGAAAATATGCTGAATGAATATACAGATTGGAAGGTGCCCAAACCAAGGGCAAGACAGAGCAGATTTTAACTGACCTGTTCCTGAGCAACTGGAATACAAACTATGTCAAAACTTGAGGAAGCAAGAATAGGATTTGCTCACACCTCACAGGCTCACCTTCAGAGGTGTTTTTCAAGATGGGGTGTAAAGAACTCACCCATTACAGATCCCTGCTACACCAGTGCTGTTTATGGCAGCTCTGAAACTCCACTGTCACAATTCCACCTGAAGTCTGGAAATTGAGGGAAACCCCTGGTAAAGAGAACTTTTTTTAGATCCTGGAAAGAATTTTCAGAATCTGCAAAATACTACTTTTCAATCTTTGAATTAATTTCAGGTTCTGCCCACTTTGTGCCAAAATGCTTCTAACCTTTAGGGGGTATGCAATGACTTGCTGCTTGTCACATTGCAAGGTATGAGTTGACACAAGAAAGGACAAGATTGTACACATGATGTTAGGAGCTGTTGGGAGAGAGGTGTAAGAACCAAGGGGACTCTGGCATTCATTGAATCTCTGAAGAATGTCACAGGAAAAGCAAATCTGTAAAAACCATGGTGTCAGGAAAGAGCAAATGGCCTTTCCTAATGTGCTAGGGACTGGGGGTTGCTCCATGGGGGGATGCTCTCCTGGACTGCTGAGCACAACCATTACATGACAGATGTGTTTTTGCTGAACTAGACTCTCCAGATGCCCCAAGGTGGTAACAAACCCATCAAAGCCTCAGTTTATATTAATAAGCCAATCTTAAATCAGCACAGTGCAGGTACCAACTTGTAAGCAGATCTGCCAGGCCTGCCTCAGGGATGGCAAGAGCATTTGGAAGCAAGAACAGCCTCAGCCATGTAATTTTTGTCTGTCACCACTAGTCTATCAGAGCTCCAGGCGACCAACTCCTCCTAAGACAAATTCCTGAATGTTTTAGGTCAGACACAGGCAGACAGGCATGAATATGGTCACACAACCACCTCAGAGCTTATAAGTTGGAAACGAAGGCACCTACCAATGGACACACTATTGTGCTTAGGCAGTTTGTACCTGCATGGGCATCTCTATCACAGTTTTGGATCCAGGTCTCATTCTGTCCACGCAAACCTGCTACAGACATGAAAGTTATGGGCCAGGAGAGAAAATAACCTTTCTGCTTGCCTGAATATATGTGCATTTCATCTGATAATATTCAAATCTCTTCAGCTACATTATAATGAGGTTAAAGCAAGAAAAATTTCCCCACCTCAAATATTACAAATGTCAGTAATGAGAACAGTAAAAATGTCACCACACGGAGAAAAGAGTGAAATTAGCATATTTAGAGGAGTATTATACCCATGAGTGAAATAATGCAATCAGCTAGCTGCAAGATAAAGCTAATTTGGTTTCCAACAGTTTATCAACAATACACTGCTCCTTTACATTAACAAATTTAACCAATACCATATCCTGCAAACAAGAATAATTCACACAGAATATTACACTGTGTTAATTAAATAGCTGGAATAGAAAAGGTCAGGCCGTGACTGAAAGATGCGCATATGGGTTGTGAAGCTAGGAAAAGATGGAGCGATTTCAAATCAAGCAATTAAAATAAATTATTTAAATCATCATTAAGTCAATAATAAATACACTTAAATATTTTTAAGCCTATTTTGACAGCCTCTTTAGCTTGTTGCTGTTTCTCAGAAATTTCTTTCCTGTTGACCCATGAAAGAGTAAAAATATCTTGAAACCCATCATAAGATGAAGTGTCTTGGATAAGTTATCAAAGAGTTATCCTGCTTATATTTAAGTTTTCATTTGACCATGCAGATAATATGAGGCATCAGACAAGTTTTGCAGTTAAAAAGGACACCACAAAACCCCACTTGCCTTATTTCTTGATGGGTTTCCTGCCACTGGAACCATGAAACCTCCACAATTACTACAGTTAATTGAAAAATGTTCAAAGAGAGAAGTACTTTTTCACACTGTTTACTTCTGCAAATAGCAGCACTTTGTCTTTGGATGAATGCCAGCAAATCACTTAAATTATAGTTGTAACATACCCTTTTTAAATTGAAAGAACATTTTGGCATGGGCTAAACTATGCTGAGGTGGTAATGTATGAAAAAGACTTAGTAAAATGGGGAATTAATCTTATTTGGAGCTCCCAAGCACTATCAGAATATATATCAGTCATGAGCAAGTCTGAATCTCACCCTATGTTTTTACTGTGCTTTTGTCACTACAGCTGTACACAGCAGCCTCAAATTTGAGTTTGCTGTATGTCCCCCATTATTTAATTGTGCGTGAATTTTATTTTTCCTGGGGCATTTCCTGAAGTTTTGTAGACAAACTATAATTTTCTTTTGATCATAGTTCTGCTGATTTCAGTCAGAATATACTTCCTTGTTGTACTTTCAGTCTCAGAAACTGAGCTGTGTGGACTCAACAAAATGTGATGTCTGTTATGTTGAGAAGAATTTCATTGGAGTCTGAAGTTTTGGCTGCAAAATTGTGGGATGATGGCCACGTGTAAAATTCAGCTGTGCACTGCCCAGCACATCAACAGTTATGACACTGACGCTGGATGTAAAACCAGTCTGTGGGGATCCCACCGTTCAGCTCTCCTCATTTAATTACATGGGCATGTATCAAGCCAACTTCCAGACTTGGTGACAGAATGCCTAATCAAGCCACACTGAAATACCCAGTTTTTTGGGGAAGCACTGTGCAGCATATGAGCCATTAATTTTATGACAAGTACAGATGGTTGATATACAGATAAATTCTCACATAACCTAATCTAATGAATATATTCTTCAATCTATTTAAATGATAATACTAACGAGCATAGTGTTCCCCACAATATGGTATTCACCCGGATTATTTTAAAATGGACTTCTGTGCATGTTGTATCGGAACCCTGCTATTTTTTCTCTCTCAATTTGGACTATGGTTGAATTGTATCCACCAAAGCAACACGATTTCCTTCTCCCTTTAAGAGGACCGATACCCGAGGGATGCCCTGCTGCAGCACCTCCCTGCGCGAAGGTACCACACTGCGCTGAGGGGCCGCGGCCGACGGGGACGTTTCGGAGGAGGAGCGGAAGGAGAAGCTCGGCGGGTCCGGCCACGGGCCCGGTTATGGCCCCGCTTCAGCCGCCGCTCCACCCTCCCCATATCCGCCCTCGGCCCGGGCCTGCAGCCACGCCGCGCTGGGGCCCGGGGCGGGCCGGGGCTCGGGGCACCTACCCGGCGCGGGGGGACGGCAGCTCTGCGCCCCGGCCATGCTCCGGCGGCTCTGCCCGCGGGGCG